ATTATTTATGTGCTAAACTCGTTTTTGGTAAATTTGGTTACATTTTTGGTGATCACAGAAACACTTCAATTAGCTAATATGCTTCAAAATATTGACGGATGAAGAAAATGAGGTTGACTTGATGTGATAGGTCATGGGTTTGAGATTCGGTGAAGAGTTTGAGTGTTCAATTCATTGTGTTTTCTTTGATTGCAGTTATCATAATTGCTGAATGAAATAGTGAGCATATTTCAGAGTTGAAAGAGATCTTCAATCTCTACGATGAAGAATTGGACGGTAAGATTGATGGTACTCAAATTGGAGACGTAGTTCGAGCGGCTGGACTGAAGCCCACAAACGCAATGGTTGTCAAGGCTAGTGGTAAAGAATATAAACGAAAGGGCGAGAAACGTATCACATTCGAAGAGTGGCTCCCAATCTACGAACAACTTAGCAAAGAGAAGGTTTGTTACAGTTGTGCTTCAAGTGATGCACTCATTTGTATTATGATCATTCATTGAGATGTTATTGACTGGATGAGATGGACAATTGAGGTTTGTTCAATGCGGTATGGTAATTGATCCATAAGTGTACTTCATCGATATGCATCCATCTTGGCGTTGACTTAATACTATAGAGGAGGTTACGAACTTCGCTGATGATGCCGTTATTTTGAACCGTTCACGAATTCAGTGAGATTTGCAAATGATCCAATGAGTCATTCCCGCGATCCAACTATCAGTAGAAAATCGTTGTGGCTATTAGCGATTCACAAACCAAAAAAAAATTTTCTAATACAAACATCAGAATGACAAATTTATTGATTACTGAGTTATTGTACCGCTTGTCTTTGAGAATTTGTAAAATGTGCTCGAAGGGCGATAATGATTCAAACGTATTGGATAGATGACGTTATCACGTAGGCTAACGGAGGCGTACTTAGCTAACTGATATGAAAGGATTTAGGAGAGAGAGAGGGTAAAGCAAGGAAGGAAAAAATAGTAGTGAGTGAAATGGGGAAAATGAGAGTGTCATTGTAAAATGGACTGATTAGAGAGAGAGCAGCTATGAAAAAAATCGCATTCACAGTTAAATGTTCTATAGTGTTGTTGATGTGAGTTGTACGATTCGTAGAAAAAGATGGCATTGAAAACATTTGAAATAACTAGACATAAAGCTGTTGTGTGTAAGTGGGCCTTCAATGTGTTTGTCTTAAAGCGTAGGTAGACTGGATAAAAGGATGATGAGATACGGCTGAGCATCAATCAGCACGGGATTGATGAGGCGTTGTCGAATTGTTAGCACAATGTATTTGAGAA